ACAGTATCCAAGTAAATTCTCATTCAACTATGTAACAATCTTTGTTCTCACACACTACCTCTAGCGTATCTGTTGGCTAAAAAGGCCACCCAAATCTTTGATGGAAATGTCCTCAATTCTGAATTGATCATTAACCCATTCAGCCCATCTTTTAATTCTATTGATTGAATTTTCTTCTGTCATGTTGAATTCTTGCATGAAAACAGTGTGTATTTTGTTTCTGAATCTCAGCCAATCTAACTTCTATCATTGAGCTGCATAATTTCTTCCTTCTAATATAGCTCATTAAACTCCTGATCATTTTGTCTAATCAAAGAAATATTCTTCTCTGATAGGTCCCTTATTAGCAAGTTAGACAATCTTGCCCTACACCCAAAAGAGTTACCACAATCATTCCTTCCCATCTTGAAGCCAATGCCATAAAGTACCAATTCTATCCATTAATGGAGCAGAATAACATTCTAATTAGCCTCTTTGGTCTCTATATGAGTTTTCTTTCAACCACAACCTCAAAACTAAACAGCTTCTCCACAGTTCTCCTGACATCAATCACCTTATACAAATAAATCTACATAGGTCATGATACTATGGCAGTTCCAGGACATGATTTGCTTGCTTATTGCATTATTACTAACTCCAATTATGAACTTGATGGATTTCAGTGTGTGACTGTAAAGCTGCCATCACAGACCATGATCATTGTTCCAACAGACAGAGATGGCCGGTTTATCGGAACAATTTTTCCAGGGGTAAGCTTTTCCTTTTTGTCATCTGAAATAAAAGTAACATTACCTGTACAAAAAAGTTCTGCAAAAATTTATATACTAAGTACTAAGCCAGAGTATCTCCACTATCATTTTATTTTCAAACTGTTGATTTAATCTTTATACAACTAACATTATTCTGGAAATCATTTAAGTTTTTCTGTATGCACTAGTATCAATTTGGCTATGTGTATAAACACATACAAGAGCCCTAACGTAAAACTTTTATTATGGAATCAAATCAGCATTTCCCTCTGTTGGGACCCCGGATACCCTCCAGAACAGGAGCAGCAGCACAAAGAGGAACTACTGGCAACAAACCAACAGTAGAAAACCAAGGACAGGGGAACCCTTTTAACTCGGTCGCTAGTGGAATCTAGTAATTCAAAGTGAGGCCTGTATCAGATACCGATGCTAGGAAGACCGTATCTTTATGTTTCTGGCTTTCATGTGCTTGAAGAACTTTCTCTAAACTTCGAATATTCTATGAACTTTTCTCTTGAAGAACTTTCATGTTTATGACTTTGTCTGTAAATACCTCTTTATGTTTTGGAAGATTTTAATCTTTGGACTTTTATTTTCTTTTCAAATTTTGTTTAGTTTTGAAGTATGGTATTGTCAGTATCATGAAGTTGGTTGCAGTCTCGGAGGAAAAAAAAAAACAAGATAATATAACGTGATAAATTTTGAGGTGTGGGCACTATGAAAATGTACAGTGGTTAACACATCTTATACTTGACATGTCTTATCGTATAAGATATAAAAATATATTTTTTATTTTATTATACCAGTTTAAATTCTAAAATTTTATATTATTTTGATTAAACGCAAAATTTAAAAAATAATATAAATTATTTATATGATAATTAATAATTTATATACATTGATAATTAATAATCATAAAACAATGAGAGATACATTTTTGTCAGATGGAAGTGCTGCTTGAGCGTAAGCGGTGGAACGAGTGTGTGAAAGGCCTCCTTATACCTACGTATCAATGTATTACAGTTCAAGCTTCCATTAACAAAAAAAAAAAAAAAAAAATGCATTATATTCAATCGGATGACACCGCTAGTGTGCCGCCTATTTATAAGATATTTACAGTTCGATTAGTATATAAATGTCATAACTCAAGATTAAAGAATAAAAAACATGTATCTATATATTCTTAATTCTAGTCATTTTCTTTCACACCATTTAAATGCTCTATTATTTATCTCTTTCCACGGTATTCAAAAGAAATAAAATTTATAAATTTCTTCTTTATACATATCCCATTCCAAGCCCATAACTAATTTATTATTGTTCCTGCAATGCAATAATCCAATTACTTCCGAGCAGACCACACACTATTGTTGACCATACGCAGTAATTTATATGTTATACACCACCAGACACTAAAGAAAAATGTCATTACAAGATTTAGAAGCTTTCTTGCACAGATAACAACTCGAACTTGCATTAATTGGAAATGAAAATAACCGAAACCTCTTTAATCTCCAGTTGGAATATGCGACCCATAATATTAGCTTCTCACGGTAGGGAGCCAACGGCAGAAGCCAGGATAGTTATTTCTTGTCAAATTTATTTGATAAATGCTGTAAATTAATTTCTTTCTGTGACTCCCTGATTGGATCAAATTGTTTTATGGCATCCTGTAAGAGAGTTCCTAGTGCCGCAAATGCAAGAGAAACACAAACCCATAATGAAAAATTTTCATGCAATTGAGCCGTTTAACATCAAGACATCCGGTAAAGTTAGTAGCAAATAGAGGGACTAGAAAACCAAAGCCAAGCTTATTTGTTCCACACAGGAAAAGTAATCACGCATCTTAACAAGGAAACTGACTCAGTGTTACATTTTAACTTGGACAATGTGTGTTCAAGCTATCAGTCAGAATCATACTTCTCATAACATATCCAATATTAACCTAAATCCATATAGTTATAGTGGTTATAGATAAGTAATGCAACAAATGTATATTATACATATCCTCATATTTGTCCGCTGTAGGATTTCCTCTAACATTGTTTTATAAGAATATTTTTCAGAAACTATCCTCTCTATCGTAAGGTTACAAGCACACACTCCCTGATCAAACTTACTTCCTACTACATATGCTCATTTCTAGGTAACCTGCAAGCACCTCACCCAGAAGATGTCTTGTGTACTGAAGCTGTACGGATAATTACAAGGAAGCAGAGAATGCATTTGATTATATACAATAATAGTAATGTTTATCTAAAGATACAACATGCCTGCGATATCCGTGAGCAAAAAATGGAACTGCATGGCTTTTAGGTTTTGTATGTTTCCAACTTATGCACTAACCTGTTCTTTCTTCCTTGGCTTTCCAGCTTTCTGACCCCACTGCCGCTTCTCAGTTGGAGGAGGCTCAACAAGTAGTAAACGCGACATTACATAGGCCAGGAGTTCTTCGCGATGAGAGAATGTAAAGTCTAAGTGGGCATACTCGAATTCATTGTAGGTTGCATCTACACCAGCATCCTTCATCAATGTATAATGCTTTCTCACCATCGAAGGCCGGATTACTCTATCCTTACGTCCAGCAACTAGATCAACAGGGATGTCAATAAGCCCATAGTACTCACCCAGATCCAAAGGTTCTGGAGCTCCATACACATCCATGTTGGCATATGAACTCCCATAATCATACATTCTAAATTTTCCCGAATGTTTCATTTGAGCAAGGTGGTGAGCTACATGGAATGAAACTCCCGGCATATCATTCATATTATAGTGCGGCAACCCCAATACTCCAACCCAATTTGAGCTGTCTCCACCAACAACGTAACTCATTAAGGTCTGAACCAATCCTCCAACCGCAGGATAGTTATGGAAGTCTCGTGCCAACTTATTTAGCAACATGCGGAAGAATCTGGTTGGTATATAGAAACCAGGCACAACTGGTTCCAGAATAGGGCCCAAAAGAAGGAATAGATACTCTACAACTGTAAATACTGGGGGGAATCATAATGGAAACCAGCAGGTGACAATAACACTAATCTTGAGAGTCTGTGGGGCTTCTCTTCGATTCGGCTTGTTATAACATACATCAGCATCGCAGCCCCTCCCAAACTGTGGCAGATTGCACAGAGTTTATAAGGCTGATCTTCTTTTGTTTCTTCTTCGACATCGGGCTGGCAGATTTTAAGCTCAGATGTCTTAACCTCGTGAATCTTCTCTATCATTGCTGGAAGATCCTCGGTCCCGTGCTCGTTGATTGAGTATCGCCAATACCTGCATTAGGTTGTCATCCCCAACTTAATCAGGAGGAACATACTTCAATATTATGTCTGGAAGACAGGAAAATATGAGCTAAACCATCTCTCTTGCTTTCCCAAGAATAATGTGACAAATGATTTTTATTTTTTTTTTGAAAAAAAAAAGAGGTAATACTAAAAAGCGTGAAAGGAGTGCAAACCATATACCAAAACTTTCAAGTTTGTCAATATATCAATCACTTCCCCCAAATTCTCACTAGTGTAAAGAGGACAACCTTTAATTCAAAAAGCTTATGGTCTGGAACCAAGAATTATTAGTCATATCAAAAAGTCATCCAATGCCCACAAATTAACCAAAAACATCCTATATCTAGATGGTTTGTACTTTCCCACCTCTCTATGAATCTGTAAGTTCAAGTTGAGTGATTAAGTCTCATGTCATTGTTAAAGAGTTTGTTGTGTTATTTGTTGTATTGTTATTGAGTACAAATGCCACTTGATTATTAAAATGTATGAATTCCTACTTTACAAAAGATATCCACAAAATGACAAATGAAAATTAATCAACAACACACTTTGATATAGATTTTTATATATAATGTGAACTCACTGTCGAGAGGTGATCTTTTTATCCACATGTTCTCTGGAAACTAAACCGCGAAAATTCCCTAGGAAAACATCAAAGCCTGCCAAAAGAATGAATTTTCTGTTAGCTTTGCTTCTCTAACATAATTTACTAAAAAAAAAAAAGATAGTACTATGAAAGGCATGAACCTTGATCATAAGCTGCAAAAGCTGGTGAACCAACAATCCCATTAGACACCCAACTGGAAAGTATCAAGTAAACCCATAAGAATGCAGATATCTTAATAAATATGTGATGTAATATTAAGAGAAGAATCTTGCATCATCCAATAATCAATGAAGCCCCAACTTACATCCGATAATAACATCATAGCATACTCTGTTGCCCATTTGGCAGCCTTGTTTAGCAAGAACGAAACTTTATAATAAATTTTCAATAGGTTTAGAATGAAGAAATTCTATAAAAAAAGCATGAAACTCATTTGCAGAAGAATATTAGCATGTTTACAATGTAAACAAATATGTGGCAAATGACTAGCCACATTTCTTTGTGGAATCCCACTAAACATAACTTTTAGCTCTTATTTCTTAAAGAGCTTC